ATAGTACCTGGTGAACACATTTTTTACCCTATGGATAAACAAAGGATGATTTTCAACAAGTTCAAAAATTGACTCATATAGGGGCGCCTGGGTGGCGCAGTCGGTTAAGCGTCCGACTTCAGCCAGGTCACGATCTCGCGGTCCGTGAGTTCGAGCTCCGTGTCGGGCTCTGGGCTGATGGCTCAGAGCCTGGAGCCTGTTTCCGATTCTGTGTCTCCCTCTCTCTCTGCCCCTCCCCCGTTCATGCTCTGTCTCTCTCTGTCCCAAAAATAAAATAAAACGTTGAAAAAAAAATTTAAAAAAAAATTGACTCATATAAATACATAGTAAGGATATGTCAGTTCCTTAATGAAGGAACCAGGAGAATGGCTAAGGTGGTTTAAAGGAGAAACAGAAATGTATATAGTCAGTGAGGAAACATATGCTTAACTAAGATTCCTAGGTTAGATACAAAATTGGTTATGTTCTCCAAGGCAATGGAATTGTATCCTTTGAAGTTATATTTTCTACTGGACAGAAATAATTTGTATCTCAAGTGGGCAAAGTTATTTGCAATTTATTAATCTAAAAATCTATATCAAATTTCAAAGAGTCTAGGCCCGTAAGTAGGCAGTCACTCAACAAAAGTACATTTCCCTAGCGCAATGATTGTCGACTGAGGGCAATTTTGCTTCCCAGGGGACATTTGGCAATGGGTAAAGCCGTGCTTGTTTGTCAGAACTAGGGGATTACTACTGGCATCTAGTGGGTAGAAGTCAGAGTTGCTGCTCAACACCCGACAGTGTACAGGACAGTCCCCACACTAGCCCAGATGGCAATAGCACCAACCTGTACCCATTAGATGCTAATAGCACCGCCATAGTGATGACCAAAATGCTTCCAAGACATTACCAAATGTCTTCTGAGGAGCAAAATCATCCCCAGTTCAGAACCACTGCTATAGAGTTGTGCTTCACAAAACAGTAGCCAATTAAAAGGAGTTAAAATGGAAACTTCAGTTTCTCAGCTGCACTTACACTTGCATCCTTCAAGTGCTTATAACCATGTGTGGCTAGTGGCTCCTGTGCCAGACAGGACAGAGAACACTTTCATCATGGGAGAAAAGTCTACTGATACTGGGCTACTATGAAAAAATATTGAAAAACATTGAAAAAATATGTAGTCATTCACTTTCTTTCTTCCCAAGTTTTTGGATACGTTTTTTTTTTAAATTCATTAATTAACTTTTTATTAAAAACATGTTAAGTTTGGGGCGCCTGAGTGGCTTAGTTGGTCGAGCTTTCGACTTTGGCTCAGGTCATGATCTCGCGGTTTGTGGGTTCGAGCCCTGTGTTGGGCTCTGCGCTGACAGCTCAGAGCATGGAGCCTGCTTTGGATTCTGTGTCTTCCTCTCTCTCTCTGCCCCTCCCCTGCTCATGCTCTGTCTCTATCTCAAAAATAAATAAACATTAAAATTTTTTACGCATGGTTGAGTGGGGGAGGGGTAGTGAGAAGGAGAGACAGAGGATCCCAAGTGGCCTCTGTACCAATGGCAGACATCCTGATTCAGGGCTCAAAATCATGAACCGTGAGATTATCACCTGAGCCGAGGTCAGATGCTCAAGGGACTGAGCCACCTAGGCTCCCTTCTACAGTAACTTTCTCAGAGGCAGCATAGAGCTCTAGTGTGGATGGAATGTAAACCCCACGACATCAGGGACAGATCTTAGTTATCACATTACCACTAGTACTGGTACAGTGCCTGACGTCCAGTTGAGTGAGTGAATGAATGAATGAGTGAATGAAGTAGAATTTCTGACGGGCAGCAGATCCCTTTGCCGTGACTTTCTCAGGTTGGCTGTCAGCAGTTACACTCTGATAACACATAACTCAGGAAGATTTTGAGGACCAAATGAGAAATCAGCAGCCAGGGTGCCTCTCCCAGGCTCTGACACCTGTTCATTCAGTTTTCCTTCCAGATCGCCTTTCCTGAACTAATCAATATGGTTCATAGCCCTCTGATATTTTGAAGACCCCTAAAGAGTCTTTGTAAATGGAGAAACTGAGGTCTAGGGAAGGGAAGCAAACTTCCCTTGATCATCTGGTCAGATAGAGGCAGATCTGGAGCTAGAGACCCATGTCTGGTTCTCTGCAGATGGTTTTACCAGCAGCCACATTCCTTGTCGATGACTACTGAGTCACTTTATGTAGGGCCAGCTGAGGCCGAGGGCAGTAACCACACACAGAGGGAGTGGACAGCTCAGGGACTTTAATTCAGCTGAGTGCCAGGCACAAGTAATGCAGACACTGGCAGTGGCCCCTGCCCTCCAGGGAGGGGCACAGGCTAGGGGCAGAAGCACACAGGCATACTTGTGATGGTATTTCATGGACAATCCTAAGAGAGAGATACAGGGCAATCAAAGAACACGTAGAGTGTGCTGGGGCGGGTGGGAGGATGAGGACAGTAGGCTAGGCCCCACGGGACGGCCATCTTTTAGTGTACATCTCCTATCCCACCACGAGTTCCTAAAACTCAGAGGAACTATAAACAGATCTGAGACCATTTACCGGCAAAACTGAGGTGATTAATGCCAGGGTGTGCTATGGAAGCTTGCTACGCTATACAGTCCCCCAGGCCCAGGTAAAGGAAAGTCCAAGGGAGTGTATGGGAATGACTGAGGAGGCTCCTGGGAAGACATGATGTGTCAGAAGCATGTGGCAGGGTGCTGTGGCCACATGGGATAGGTCATATAAAAGTCTGAACCTCATGCTACGTAGCTCAGTTGTGTATCCACCTGAGATTGTCAAAGATTTTAAAGGAATATAGATCAGAGTGTTTTCTTCAGGAAAATTATCTTACAAACATATGAATGGGGAGAAACAGGAAGAGCTAGCTCCTATTTAAAATGTGTGTGACCAGGGGCGCCTGGGTGGCTCAGTCAGTTAAGTATCTGACTCTTGACTTCAGCTCAGGTCATGATCTCACAGTTTGTGAGTTCAAGCCCCACATCAGGTTCTGTGCCAATGTGGAGCCTGCTTGGGATTCTCTCTCTCCCTCTCTCTCTGCCCTTCCCCACCCCCCTCTCTCAAAAACAAACAAACAAAAAAGCAACCTTAAAATGTGTGTGACCAATAATTGATTACAAGCATTTTTATTGTCTCAAAGGAAGAGGCCTCTAAGCAGCCTAATTCAAAAATTCCTTCCTGACAACAATAACTTGTAGGAAGAAGAGACCTTAGATAATCGTGACTTGCCTGGATTTTTAAAAAGTGACTGGTTACGGATTATTAGACTAGTTAAAGGTCACCGGGCTCCTCCTAAAACTAATACCTTCGTGGTTCCCAGAAGGGATCTTAAGCTCATTAAATAAAGTTTATCATTCATTTGAACAGAAATGTTAATATCTCCCAGGAAAGAGTAACTAATGAAAACAGACCACAAAGTTTTCCCTTAGCTAAGGTTTTTGACCATTTTGTCTTGCTCATCCCCACAGTGAGAGAAACAGCAGGAACCTTCTTTTTTTTCAATCTCCTCCTGTTCTGTCTAGATGACATGACCTACCCTTTCCTCATTATGTGGTCTCTATTCATTCAAGAAATTGCATGCCTATTCTGTGCCAGGCAGGACTTGTTGGGCCAGTGTTGGGAATACAGTGATTTGTGTAAACAGGCAGTCTTGTCCTCACAGGGTTTAGTGTCCAGCTGGAGAGAGCGTGTGTATGTGTCCAAGTATGTATTTAGGTATGTATTATCAGTATTCCCATTTTCACAAACGAGGAAACTGAGGCGGAAGATTAACTTTTTTTTTTTAAGATAGGAATTTTATTTTATTTTATCAAAAAAATTTAAATATATATATCTTTTAATTTTTGAGAGAGAGAGAGAGAGAGAGAGAGAGAGAGAGAGAGAGGCCATGTGCAAGCAAGGGAGGGGCGGAGAGAGACGGAGACAGAATCTGAAGCAGGCTCCAGGCCCCTAGAGCTGTCAGCACAGAGCCCTGGGTGAGTGGGGGGGTGGGGAGAGCTCGAACTCACGAGCTGCCAGATCACGACCCTAGCCAAAGTCCAAGGCTCAACCACCTGAGCCACCCAGGTGCCCCTAAAAATGTTCTTTAAATATTTATTTTTATTTTTTAAATTTTTTTTAACGTTTTTATTCATTTTTGAGACAGAGAGAGACAGAGCATGAACGGGGGAGGGTCAGAGAGAGAGAGGGAGACACAGAATCTGAAACAGGCTCCAGGCTCTGAGCGGTCAGCACAGAGCCCGACGCGGGGCTTGAACTCACGGACCGTGAGATCATGACCTGAGCCGAAGTCGGACGCTCAACCGACTGAGCCACCCAGGCGCCCCTAAATGTTTATTTTTGAGAGAGAGAGAGAGAGAGAGAGAGAGAGAGAGAGAGAGAGAGAGAGAGAGACGCGCAGAGTGTGAGTGGGGAAGGGGCAGAGAGACCCGGAGACACAGAATCCAAAGCGGGCTCCAGGCTCTGAGCTGTCTGCTTTCCAAGCCCTGAGATCAGGATCTGAGCTAAAGTCAGGCAGTAACGGACTGAGCCACCCAGGTGCCCCCAGGAAGATTAATTTAAGGGAATCCGTCTGATCAAACATAGATGTACATTCATTCTAAAACATGTAAAACAAATACTGGGTTGTTTACTTGACGGGAGCTGTGCTATGCCCTGGGGGGACACAAAAAGTCGTGGTTAATAATTTTGAGCACCTAAAATAAATATGTCAGGTTTGGTGTTAGGCGCCTTACACAATTTTATGTAAGCCTCACAATAACCTTGCAAGTTAGGTATCCTTAATCGCATTTTGGTTATTATGGAAATAAGAGTGTGGCGACGTTCAGTAACAATAAACGTCACTAGGCTCATGGGAGGCTGTAATCCCATTAAAGCCCAGCCTCCTTCTTCCCCGGGGGGAAAAACCCCTGACTCCGCTACAAACCCAGGTCTGGCCCCACCCCCACCATTACGCCTGCGCGCTCCCGGAGCCAGCCTCCTCCCAGCCGACACGCGGCGCGCTTGCGCACTGCTTCTCCATGTGGGCTCCGGCAGTCAGCGGGCCCGGCTGAACAGTGGCGCCGAGAACCCCTCGGCAGCAGGACCCTGACACCAGCTCAGCAGCCTCCGCCGTCCTGCTGTTGCCCTCCTCTCTCGGCCTTTTCTCCCAGCGCACATCGCCATGGGCAAGAGCCGGACGAAGCGCTTCAAGCGGCCTCAGTTCTCTCCTACGGGCGACTGTCAGGCCGAGGCGGCGGCGAACGGGACTGAGGGAGAGGAGGACGACGGGCCGGCGGCGGAGCTGCTAGAAAAGGTGAAGCGGGGGCGCGCGGGGCTGCGAGGGGCGGGCTTCGCGCGGAGCCCTGGGGCAGCGCGGCGCGCCCCTGCTGCGGCCCCCGCGCCTGCGCTCTGCGCTGCGTCTGACACTTGCTCCTGTCCCGCAGCTCCAGCACCCGAGCGCCGAGGTCCGCGAGTGCGCCTGCGCGGGGTTGGCCCGGCTGGTGCAGCAGCGGCCTGCGTTGCCGGGCCTGGCGCGTCGGGACGCCGTGCGCCGCCTCGGGCCGCTGCTGCTGGACCCCAGCCTGGCGGTGAGAGAGACGGCGGCCGGCGCGCTGAGGTGAGCCGGGAGAGAGAGGGGTCGCGGCGGCCGGCCAGCGCTGTGTGCGTGCCACGCACCGTCGATTATCTCCATGCCCTTGCCTTCGGCAGCTCGGGAGACCCAGAACTGCCCAGGGTCTCCCATTTGCAGAGGGGGGATTTGAACTCAGTCTGCAGACCCCTGAGGAGCGCACCCTCCTCCCCCAATCGCATTCCATCTGTCCAGCTGGCTGCTCCAGCTGCAAGCAGCCAACTGCCACGTATCCTCCTCCCCGCAAGGCCTAACATACATCGCTCCCTCTCCAGGAACCCCCAGAGTCCCGAGGTTCCGTGAGCTCTTCCAGTGCATGTGGCACGTGTTCTGGGTGCAGGGAGTTTGAGCAGGCAGAACATTGAGCAAGAGAGCTGAGATCCCTGCCTTCACAGAACCCGTGTTGATGAGGAGACAGGAGACTAGTAAACAGGTAAAACAGGAAATACTAGATAGTGAGAAGTGCTATGGAGAGAAACAAGAGGATAATGAGTTGGAGGTGGGAGGTTACTTTAAGTTATGATCTGTAGATGACACTTGATCTGATGCATCCGAGCCAGACATGAAAATCCAGGGCAAAAGCATTCCCGACGGAGGGAAACAGCAAAGAAGTGAGGCAGCAAAGGACTTGGCCTGGTTGAAGAACAGGAAGTTTAGTGTGGCTTTGCAGGGCAGGGGTGGGTATTACAGATGAGGTTGGAGAGATGGACAGGGACTCGGTGGTGTAGGGCCTATGGTGAGCAGGAGTGGCCTGATCTAATTTACCTTTTGAAAAGGCTACTCTGGTAGCCTGCTGTAGCCTGTGCTACTCTGCACACACTCTGGTGTCTGTGCAGAGAATGGACTGTAGAGGGGGCAAGAGTAGAAGGTAGTGTTTGCGATTCTTGCAGCTCTGTCTATATCATGTTGCATTTGGTGCTTTAGCAGGTATATTTTGTGTATCCACTGTGCTCCAAGCAGTGGGCTAGGCTGTGGGCATGTGTTAGTGAACAAGACAGATATGACTTCTGTCTTACAGCTTTGAGGCAGACAGGCATTAGCCAAATAATGATTTGGTTATAAATCATTATATATGATAGATAGATAGATACATAGATAACTGGGGGGTTCAGAAAAGAAAGCCCTAAGGGAGGGGTGTTTGAGGTGAGCTCTAAGGGATGGATGGGGATTAGCCACATACTGGAGGAAACCACATGGAGGGAGCCCTACTCTTTCCCTGCAGCATATGTACACTGGGAGCTCCTGGAAGATTGTGGGGGCGTTTTCTGCACACTGAGAGCTCCTGGAAGGTTGTGGGGGCGTCTTCTGATTCATCTCCGTCTTCAGTGCCTGGCACAGTGCTGTGCACTCAGAAGGCAAGCAGGCAGTGGCTTCCCAATTAAAATTCAGTTTAGCCTGGGTTGCTTCAGGGGCTGTCCTTCAGCCTCACCCTTGCTGCCCTTGGAAGTCTTGATCCCAAGAAAAGTTCCTTTCATGTAAGATCATGCTGTGATTTGTTCACATTAAATACGGAAAGTCTTCTCTCTCTTACTGCCCCTGTAGCCATGTACCTGTGTATTGTTTCAGACTTGAAAATTAAGTTGTCACATGACAAAGTCATTTGTTTACATCATGTGAAACAAGGATCAGAACAGATGAAATCTTTGGATTGATTCTGTGGCATCTTTTTTTTTTTCTAATGTTTGTTTATTTTTAAGAGAGAGAGAGAGAGAGACTGAGTGTGTGTGGGGAAGGGGTAGAGAGAGCCAGAGGGAAACAAAGAATCCGAAGCAGGCTCCAGGCTCTGAGCTGTCAGCACAGAGCCTGAAGAGAGACTCGAACCCACGGACAGTGAGACCATGACCTGAGCTGAAGTCGGATGCTTAACCAACTGAGCCACCCAGGCACCCCTGGTTCTGTAGCATCTTACAGAAATCATATGCAATGTCATCTGGAAAACCTTAAGTATGGGTAGAAATTACATTTGAGAACTTAAAAGTGTTTTTTTGATGTGTGCTCTGAGAAAGTAAAACCTATTTTAAACTTTTTGTGTAGAAATCTCAGTGCTTGTGGAGGTTTTGAAGTTTGTGATGACATGGTGACTAAGGATATCATGACTCCTCTGGTCGCACTGCTGAAAGAGGTAGGTGGTTTAAAAAGAATCTTCATGGCAGTTTTTAATTGTAGCTTTTAGTATACGCACTTAGATTTTTTTTTTTTTTTTAAAGCCCTTTGGGATTAGTTATTTTGTCTTCCCTCAAAACATTCTATGGGCATTTTATTTCTTTTCCTAGAAACACAGATTTCTTCTCATTATACCAATCTCCATTATTTTGTCCCCACTATTTTTTATTTATACGCTAGTTGGAAAAGCCCTTTCTAAAACTATAGACTGACTCCTTTAGACCTTAAATTTTGTAAGTAAAAGTAGTTTTTACATTTTTGTGTCAGGTGGTGTTTTATGTATTATTTAATCCTTCCAGCAGTCCTGTTTGGAAGGTGTTACTCCTGTTTTACAGATGAGAAAACTGAGGCACGGACTAGGAATTTGCCATTAAGACTGCATTAAGTTTTCAAATTTAACATCACACCAACCTTAGTGCATGACGTAGTTGAAGGGAATAAGGCGCTCTCTCTCTCTCTCTAGGCTGCTTCTAGTCCACTATTCTGTATTGATACATAACTTTTATTTAAGGCTTTATAAAGAATATCCAATTTTGATGAGAGGCATCTCATCTTATTCTGTTCAGAGCATTGGTTTTGAACTGGTGGTGATTTTCCCCACAGAGGACATTTGTCAGTGTCTGGAGACACTTTTGAGGTGTTGGCTAGTGGGTAGAGGCCAAGGATGCTGCTAACATCCTGCAGTGCACATGTGAACCCCACAACAAAGAATCATCCAGTCCAAAATGTCAGCGGTACTGAGACTGAGAAGCTCTGCTTAGAGGGGGCCATGGGCTGTGCTACAGGGCAGTCCTGCCCCGACTTCGGAGCCAGAATACATGGATCTGAATCCCAGCTTTGCTGTGTATTAAGCTACGCTTTCTGCAATCTCGTACCTCAGTTTTCCTTTTGTAGCAGAAGACTGGGGATAGTAGATGCTCTGCCTCACAGGTTATGGTCAGGATTAAATAACCTAATGTAAAAGTGCTTAGGGTAGAGCCTTGTGCGTAGAAGGCCCTGTGTAGATGTTAGCTCCTATTGTGTGTTACCTTTCTGTGCCTGATTGACTGTCTTCATTGCATTGGATAAAATACTTTGTATTGATTCTACATTTTTAAGTGTTAAATGCTTTGTATCCAGTTTGCACAATGACTCGTGAACTTTTCTCGTCTGTATTTCTTGCCAGAAGGGAACAGGACTGTGGGAAGGGTACTGCTTATGAGAATTTGATGAGCTCGTTAACCACTATAATTTCTGATGTTTAGTTTTTGTGGTTCTTCACTATCATTAGCCTTTTTGTTTAATTATTCTTTTGAACCAGGGTACTAATCATGATATTTGGTTGCAGTGTAGTGCCGGACTGGATTCAAATGAGATGTCTCCACAGGAAAAAAAAGATCAGAGCAGAAATTCTATTGAGAACATAGCCAATGAGGCCATGAATGTGCTGTGGAATATATGGTAAGGTGCTTTCTGAACACAGCCTCCTGCTTCAGCACTACTCAGGCTGCTGCTCATTCTGCAAAACTACTGTAGAGAGAGCTCTGTTCTCCTTGGTGGGCCTGTGATCTTAGGTGATCTAAGATCAGCCCTGCCTCCCAAGCCCTTTTCCTCATAGCATCGCTGTCTCTGTTTTTGCTTTATGACTTCTCTCCAATCATTGCTGCTGACAGAAATAAGAGGAATCGTGGCCATTACCATGTACTCTACCCCAGTTACCCTCCACTGCCCGCATACCCTTGAGTGGTCATTGTCTTCAAGCTAGTCAAGCCCCTGTGCAGCAGCTGCTTCGGACTAGCACCTGGAACGAGACGGGGCCACAGACCTTGGCTGGTGCGTTATTCCTTCACCCTAGCAGTTGCCATTTGACAGGACTGCCGACGCCTGAGAAGAGCTCCCTTGGCCCCAGTAGGAGGAAGGCCATGCTCTCCATGATTGCAGCAGTGGCGGGGTGGTGTGGACTTGCTTTTAGGAATGGAAATGGCTAGAAACACTACCTGGACTTATTTTTCCTACCCTATTTTATGTCCCACCTTTCTAACCGGATTGTGTCATAGTTCCTTATTTTCTAGTCAGCAGCAATGATACCTTCTGACGTAAAAGCACAGATGTATCTCAGAAAACAGGATTAAGTTGGATCCTGAAAAGCTGCCCACACAGCAGTCTGAACGTGCCGATGATTTCATTTCAAACTAGTGGATGCATTCCACCAGAAAATTGGAGAGATCAGATTTGAGGAAATGAGCAAGTGGGTGGTTACAGTTTCCTGTACCCAGGAACTTTAGCTTATTTAATTGTTAGAAGTTTTAAAAATTTTTCTTTGAAAAGAGCCTGAAAAAGTAGTCTCCACAGTGTCTCTTTCCTGAATGCCTGTGAGCCCTAAAAGTACCGTTTCCAGTTGTTACAGCTTTTCACAGTTTTGTCTTATGCTTCATGATTTTAAATCCTATATGTTTAAGTTGTATACGTGTGTATATATTTACAATTATCTTAACGCATGTATGCCTTATATTCCTGACTATATCTGATTCTGCTGTGGCCATCTTGAGGGTAGGCTCATAGCAGTGCTGTAGTAACTAGGTGGGGTAGGTAGGTAGACAGATGGACAGAGAGTCAGGCAGAAAGTAGTTTATCTTTAGATAACAAGATTGAATTTCGTAATTTAGTCACCTCTGTTTAATAACCTGATCCGCTGTTTTATTGTATCATGTGTATATGTGGTATGAACAGAGGGATACTTTTCTCTGGAAACAGGGATAAAATTATTAAAATTACCTTTCTTTTATACCCTGTATTTTGTATACTTATTATATTTAGTTATATTTATTAATAACATTCTTAACATTAATTCTGATTTTTTTTATTAAAAGATAGTGTAGCTTCAACTATATTTATGATAGCAATTTCTCTTCTGCAGACTGCAAATTCTGCTTGCTGATTGTAATAGTCTAGAAGGAGTGAATAAAATTCATTTTATTTTCTTTTAATTTTGTGCTTTTTGTTTTATAAGCATAGAGACCTTTTATCCTCACTTTATCTTACTATTACTGTTACACAGTGGAAGGAACAGTAGGCTGGACCCAAGGAACCACCACAAATAAAATGTGTGATCTTTGAATAGATCACTCCATCTTTTGGGGCCTAGGTTTCCTCCTGTATGAAATGAGGATTAGAAGTAAATGGTAGTGATTTCTAAGATCTCTTCCAGCTCTAGCCTCCTATAAGGAAACTGGCATGCAGGTAAAGAGATTGGTTAAAATGTCCTAGTGTGTTAGACATAAAAATACGGATGGCCAGTTTTGTTTATGTACAGTGTATATGAATGGGCATTGGTTTCTTCATCTATAAAAATGGTGGGTGCTTGACTCCAGTTCTTTAGTTCGTTTATAAAGCCTAATTTATCTTTTCATGAATTTCTGTGGTTGATTTCTTAATGTTAAAATGTGAATAGTAAAACTTTTTTTTCCCCCTTCAATTTAGTGAATGCAGTAGTAGAGCAGTATCTATATTCAACAAAGAAGGGTGTTTGGAGATTGTATTAAAGTATTTAAGTAGGTTTTCCACCAATGTTGACCTGGCTATTTCAGTAGGTAAGTGAAGAAAAGGTGATGATTTATTAAGTATGTATGGCCTTATTCAAAAATTTTTATTCCAACATAGCATGTTTATTCTACAGGAGTGATTTTTTTTCTCATTATATATAAATGTGTAACTGAGTTCTGTTTGTTTTGGATCTTTTAAAATCTATGATTAATACTTTACTTACTCATACAGTTTTCCTGCTCTTCACTCTGAAAGGGAGGAAGGCAATTATGTGAGCAGGTGCGGTTTCTAGTGTATTACCATTCTTAGAAGGCTTTATTAAGTCTTGAAGCTTTTATCTCCCATTTACTGAGAAGTAGTAACCCACAACTACCAGGCCTTTGAGCCAAAGTTAATTGGAATCTAGACTTATTTAAATGTCTTGTACCACTATCTCATACTCCCAGCAGAACACTGATAACCTGTGCTTTTTTTGAGAGAGGAAAGTAAGTGATTGAAATTTCACATAGGTCTGCTTCCCTTCTGTGGGACAGAGAAAGCCCAGGCTGGCAGCTTCAGCTGCCTTGGCTCCCTCACTGTCTCTCTGGGGGGTGAGAGAGCCAAAGTGAGGATCCCTTATTCATTTCAGGAGACAGATTGGAGGGTGGGTGGCTCAACAGAACTCTGGGGACAGTGGAGAAATAATTGATGCAAAGCATTTCTTTTCTACCCATTATAATGACCAGGTATCCAGCTGTCCTTTTATTTAATTATGCATTTCTCCTGGCGTGGACTAAGTGTGTTTCCTCTTAGTGATGCTTCTTTTGTCTCTACTGGATACTTTTAAGAGAACAGAAAAAAAAAATAGTGGAATCGATAATACTGGGAAAAATTTTTAAATCAGTTTCTCAAAATGGAATCTTTGGTGGAAGGGTGATTTATGAGTAAATGTGGATCTTAAAAACAGTTGAACTAGGAAATTTGTAGGTGGCTTTTCATTTCAGAAGACAATTTTTCTTACAATGAGGGAAATTGACAAAAGGTAGTTAATAGCTTTTACTTATTTTTTAAATTTTTTTTATATTTATTTATTTTTGAGAGACAGAGTGAGACAAAGTGAGGCTGGGGGAGGGGCAGAGAGAGAGGGAGACACAGGAGTGGAAACAGGCTCCAGGCTCTGAGCTGTCAGCACAGAGCCTGACGCGGGGCTCGAACCCACAGACTGTGAGATGATGACCTGAGCCGAAGTCGGACGCTCAACCGACTGAGCCACCCAGGCACCCCTAGTTAATAGCTTTTAAAAGTAAAACTTCACTTCTGTTTTTGTATCTTTTGTAGATTTAGTTATTTAAAAATTTTTTTCTCTAATAAACTTCTAAAAGATGGATCAGAATAAAATAATTTTGAATTGTATAATAGTGTTTTATTTCCGCATTTAGCTAGATTCGTGATTTTTTAAACAAATGTCAAGTTACTTTGGTTTGAAAATCAAGCAACATTCATATGAAGTAAAGTGAACTTCTGAGACACTGTTCTTTATGTTAATATGGCTTTCTTTGCTCTTGTATTGTCTTTATGGTAGCAGCCATAGTTTCTCTAGGCTTTTGCTAAAGTGAATTTAGTCTCTTAGTGAAAAAAATTACATTTGGGCATATGTGTATATATATATATATACGCACACACACACATGCATATTTATGGATTCGTATACAAATGTGTTTTGGGAACCAAACTAGATCACAGAAGTAGCATATATTTTGACTAATTTGGATGGGTATGGTCAGCTTTGAAATTTTGAGACCTGAAAGAAATGGATGTGTTTGGAACACACTAAGAAAAACAAACTTGGGCTTGCTTCATCTTTGTGCTTCAGAGGTCTCTTCTGCCAAACCCGTCAGGCAATCCCAGTTGTTTTGGTACTTGCAGTTAATTATTTCTAATTTGCAAGTTGTAATCCATTATCTTGTTTTAGTACAAGGTAGGAAGTAAGTGGTAAATGACCATATGTCTATGAATACTGTAGCCATCTCTCAGTTTACTCATATTTTTATGTAAAATATTTTTTTAAGTCTTTTTTAATGTTTGTTTATTTTTGATAGAGAGCGAGCAGGGGGAGGGGCAAAGAGAGAAGGGGACAGAGGATCTGAGGCAGGCTCCAGGCTCTATGCTGACAGTCGAGAGCCTGACGCAGGGCTCAAACTCACAACCTGTGAGATCCTGACCTGAGCCACAGTCAGACAATCAACCGACTCAACTCAACCCAGGTGCCCCTAAGATGCTTTTTTTCTTAAAGAAATATTGCTTCGCTAGAAATAAGTGCCCTAAGTTTTAAGGTCATGCTAAATTTAAAGGAAGCCAGAATGACCCTAAACCTGGGGCTTGTTCTTGACAGTGGAGCTGCTAAGAGTGTTGTCTGTGTACTGGTGTTTGGTCCACAGGCTGTTTACTACCAGTCCACTGTAAGTACAGAAATTGAGGAGAAACTTTTATAAATGTTCATAGCAATTCCATGTTGTCACATTTAAGAGCCTTTAAAATTGTATTTTGTGAAAGTATATTGTATAAAGAATCAGAAATTAAGAAAAAGAAAAAAGTCTTTCACTGAACTTCGAGGAGCCTCATTTGCATGTAGCATGCTTGAAGTAAAGCGTATCTATCTGTGTCTGAAGAAGTTGTAAAGATGCAGATATTTTCTGATGAGTTAGATTGGTATAAATTACCCTAGCAGAATTCATTTGTTTCTTAATTTTTATCTTTATAGCATATTGTTTGCAGACAGTGACTGAAGATAACCCAGAGCTACTGAATTCTTTCACTGCCCCAGCATTGCATGTACTGGAGTCAGCAATGCTTTCTCCTGTCAGTTCCATGGACTACATTCTGTTAAAGACATTGGTGGCAGGTAAAATTTAGCCATTTTGCAACAGTGTCCTTTTTTAGTAATATGTAATGGGTAGAGATGGGGGCCAAAATTCAATCATTCGTTCATTTCACCACATCAGGACTTTCCGGTATATGTCTGTTCTGAAAATTTAATATTTAAGTGGAGATTCAAGAGGTTATGCATAGGGGTGCCTGGGTGGCTCAGTTGGTTGAACATCTGGTTTCAGCTCAGGTCATAATCTCATGGTTCGTGGGCTCCTGATAGCATGGAGCCTGCTTGGAATTCTCTCTCTCTCTCTCTCTCTCTCTCTCTCTCTCTCTCTCTCTCTCTTTGTTCCTCTCCTGCTCATGCACTCTCTTTCTTTTTCTCTCTCTCAAAATAAATAAATAAACATTAAAAAAAATCACATGTAAGGTAGAATTTACCATCTTGACCATTTTTAAGTGTGCAGTTTAGTAGTGTTAAGTACATTCAACGTTGTTGTGCAACCAATCTCTAGGACTTTTCATCTTGCAAAAGTGAGGCTCTGTACACATTGGACAACTCCCCATCTCCCCCTCCTCCCGGCCCCCAGCAACCACCCGTCTACTTTCTGTTTCTATGAATTTGACTTCTTTAGGTGCCTCATATAAGTAGAATTATACAGTATTTTTCTTTCTGAAGCTGGCTAATTTATTATTTTATTAAAAAAATTTTTTTTAATGTTTATTTTTGAGAGATAGAGAGACAGAGCATGAACACGGGAGGAGCAGAGAGATAGGGAGATGCAGAATTAGAAGCAGGCTCCAGGCTCCGAGCTGTCAGCACAGAGCCCGACACGGGGCTCAAACCCACGAACCGCGAGATCATGACCTGAGCCCAAGTCGGATGCTTAACCGACTGAGCCACTCAGGCCCCCTGTTTTATTATTTTAAAAAAATTAAAAATATTTTTTTAAAATGAGCTCTCCACCCAACATGGGACTTAAACTCATGACTCCAAGATCAAAAGTCACAAGCTGTACCAACTGTGACTAATTTCATTTAGTATAACGCCCTCTGAGTTCATCCATGTTGTAACATGTGTCAGAATTTCCTTCCTTTTTAAGGCTGACTACTATTCCACTATATGTATTTATCACATTTTGTTTAACCATTCATCCATGGTTGGGCACTTGGGTTTGTGGCTGTTGAGTAATGCTGCTGTGAATATGGGTATACACATATCTGTTCGAGTCCCTGCTTTCACTTCTTTTGGGTAGGTACCAGGAAGTATTTTTATTTTAACTGACTAACGAGTAACAGGTGGCTCCTGTTCTGTAGAACCTGCTCTCTGGTTTGTCCATGAGACCTTGGAATTTTAGTACATTTAATTCTATTCCTGGAGTATAAGAAGCTGCCTAGGAGGGCAGCTCAGGTTAAGATGAAAGAGAGTGGGCAACTTAATTTGTCATTTCAAGTGAAACCTGATCAGCCTTCTCTTGGTCTGTTGCTGTGTGGTGTATCAGAGAAAGGCATTGAGTGCCAAGGAAGGGAGATGATTGTGGAGGATGGTAACAAAGAGAGCTGCCTCTGTGCAAAGCTTTTTTGTGTGTGTGTGGACATTTAATAAAAACTAAACAGAGGGGCGCCTGGGTGGCGCAGTCGGTTAAGCGTCCGACTTCAGCCAGGTCACGATCTCGCGGTCCGTGAGTTCGAGCCCCGCATCGGGCTCTGGGCTGATGGCTCAGAGCCTGGAGCCTGTTTCCGATTCTGTGTCTCCCTCTCTCTCTGCCCCTTCCCCGTTCATGCTCTGTCTCTCTCTGTCCCAAAAATAAATAAAAAAACGTTGAAAAAAAAAATTAAAAAAAAAAACAAAAAACAAACAAACAAAAAAAAAACTAAACAGAGGTGGAGGAGGGTTTGACATTTTTTGAAATCCCATCTGAGCTTAAAGAACCAATCTCATGGAAACTGGATTTAATAAAAGCTTTCACAGGGGATTCCTTATGTGCATTTCTCCCCCTCCCCTCCCCCCAGGGACAGTTTGGAACCTAAAAGACATTATTCCATCCAAGAGTCAGGCAGAAATCATAAATGCCATACTGAAGATCTTATCGGAAGTGTTGGACGTGGATGCTGGTGAAATAGTTATTCAAATGAAGGAGGCCGAAACTCAAAGGTTAAAAGCGGCAGCAGAGACAGAGGAGATACGAGAGAATGCCGGTGGTGACAATCTGATTGAAGACGATGAAATGGAAGAAATTCCTCATAAAAGAAAAGTCAGAAGGAAAACTTTCATTTCAGATTTACTTCCAGTAAGTCAGATCGATGCTTGCAATCCTGGATTAATACAGCTGTTTTCTTTTAATAGGTCGCCAAAGCTTTGCAGAAAAATGTTACAGCAGAATTAAATATGAAGTGAACTCCAGTAAAAAATCAGTCCTTTTTCCCCATCGACTCTCATGGTCACATTATAAATCTACTCCCAAAGGGGGAAAAGAAATCTCCTGTCTAAAATTAAATTTTTATATACAGAATATTTCAAAGAGGGGATAGACCCGTCCTTTTAGAACACTTTAAATAGCATGCAGACACCTTCCTAACTCCTGTGTCTCCCCTCTTTGTTACATATTTTGCCAGACTATCTTCAAACTAAAGGAATTTTTACTTTGCTTGGCTTGCCCCTTGCATTCTTGTCTCTTTTTAGTATTTATCCTTAAAAATAGCAAGCCCTCGTTTGCCCAGTGCTGCTGGGCAGAGAAGGTTGGGTGCTTATGAGAATTGATGGGTTTTAGGGTTTGCCGAATGGGTGGTTGTGACATGCTTGTGTTGGAGTAAAGGTGAGCAAACTTAGGTGCAGGGAGCATGTCAGCGGAGCCGGTCAGCAGAGATGGAGCCGTACCTTGGAAAAACATTTCCCCCAAGGAGGAGAGCAGGGTGGACAGCAGGTTGGCTTTCTTCATTCAGGTGCACATTTTCTGTGCTCCTGCAGTGTGCCAGGCACCGTGCCAGATGCTGATGCTAGAAAGACAAGACATTTTCATCTTAAGGGACCTTCTCCATCTTGGGAGGACAGACCCATAATTAGGATGTATTATAATATGCCGTGCCAGGAGCAGTGATAGGGCTGTGCACAGATTTCTGAGGGAGTAGTGTTTTATAGAGAGGCACACCAGATCTATGGCCCTGATGGGAGAGGAGAGGAAGAGGTAGTCAGAGCAGGCTTTTTGGACAGAACACCTCACTGTCTAGGATGGGGTAGGAACAGCATGACGAAAGCAGGTTGGTGTCGTTAGGGGGCCTGGAGGCAGGGGAGATCAGTGAGGCTGCTGGCTTTCTTCATTCCGAAGGAGGTTGATGAAGCCTGGGCCGGGAGAGTGCTATTTCCATTCCCTCACACTTTCTGCAGTTCTGCATGTGGCTTGTCCCAATTTGTATAAAGTGAACTGAAACTGAGAGCTGTCTTTAGTCAGTGTCTTAGAGTTTTGAGAAGTTAGTGCCCAATAAAAATTCTCTAAATGGAATATACCTGAAAAGAAATATAACAGTATCTTACTTTCCTGGGTTCACAAAGTCTTGTAAAGCACGGATCGGTGGTATTTTAGCAAAGTCAAAATGTTGTAGCTGGAGCTACTCTCCCGCCCCCGTGGCTAGCCCTTAGGTACACAGCAGCGCAGTGAGTTGTGGGGCCAATATGAAAGTGAGAAGCCTGGAGCTGCTTGCAAATCATAAAGTCGCTTCAAAATCATGGCACCCCTTTTGGTGCAGGCAGGCACATATTTGAACCCCAGATTTCTTTTTTGTCTGTAGTCTGAGTACAATTTAAAGCCAGTAAAACAAGATAGACAAAGGCATAGCCGTGTGCCTTATCCTCACAAAGGGGTATTTATAAAGAACCCTAGGAACATTTTTCTTTTCAGTTGTCACGGGAAGGGTCAGTCCTGGATCTGGGACATACATGGCTTCCATCTGGGGAAAGTGACAGATCAGGGCTTGGAGGCTCTTATGCAGCCGTGGTATTGCGCTGACCTTATCCCAACTGGTGCACACAGACCACGTTTTACCACGACAAATGCCCGTCAGCAGAAGCCGAGATTACAGGTGGGCTGTCAGGGAACCCTGAAATACCTGAAACCCTTCCCGGGGAGCGGGAGAACAGCACCCTGGAGTTCTGCACCCTCAGCCTTGCTTCCAAGGGACTCCTAGGGGGAGAAGGTGGGGACTAAGATCCATGTCTACCAAGATGAAAGTGCCATGGTGTAAAAAATGTTGATATTTAACTGTTATTTAGGCACTTACTCTCCCAGCTATTATTTAAAAATAGAACATTGGTGCTTATAAAATGCAGTGTTTTCTCATAACAAAACTTGTTTTTTAAAGTCTATTAACATAACCGAGTAGACAGGATGGTTAACACGCTGGTCAGCCAGCCAGTGTTTAAGTGCCAGTAGGGTGCTGGGCATCATGCTGGTATGTGCCAGGAATATAAAGTGTGTAATGCTTGTCGGCTCTGGTCTTTCTCACTGCCCGGTGGCTGGTGCAGGAGTCCTTCGGGATCAAAACCTTTAATCACATCATTTAACTTAAGAAGGTATGGCCACAAATATGTAGAGAAGGAACCAGCCCAAGTTGTTGTTTTAGCATAGGCAGAAATAGAGGAGTCCCTCGCCCAGCTTCCACAGTTATCAGTGATCAAATCATAGTCTGTTTTATTTCATCTATTTCCCCACTTTCTCTCCCATCTCAGTGCTGAACATTTTGAAGCAAATCTCAGATGTCATAACATTTCATCTAGATTGGCTCTTTATGTTAGTTTGATGACAGTAAGAAGCAGGGAACTGTTCTGAGCAAGAGAATTACATAAAGAAGTAGAACTTAATTTCAGGATTCTTCTGAGTCAGATCTTCATACATCTCAAGGGAATGGGAGCTCAGCAACAACATATCTTACTTAACTTTGAGTCTACTCTAATAAATGTTTACTTGAACATCATATGCACAGCAGATAGGAATAATTTTTATGTACATTCTTGCCAGTGATAAAAGGAATACAAATGGCGGGATTCCTAAGCTACATGTTTTAAATTAACACATTGCTTTTAAAATAATTATTAATAAGTGTATTATCTTTTAATTTATTATTTTAAATTTATTACTATTTTGTGTTTTTTGTAGATACTTATTTTTAAAATTTTTTTTATTTTGAGAGAGAGAGCACAAGTTGGGGAGAGGGGCAGAGAGAGAGGGAGACAGAATCCCAAGCAGGCTCTGCACCATCAGACTGATGCGGGGTCTCAAACCCATGAACCATGAGGTCATGACCTGAGCCAAAGCTATGAGTTGGATGTCTAACTGACTGGGTCATCCGGGTGCCCCAGATTTCACTTTAAGGAACCTCTGCATCCAGTGTGGGGCTTGAGCTTACAACCCTGAGATCAAGAGCTGTATGCCATACCGACTGTGCTGGCCAGACACCCCTATTTATTATTCTTTAATAATAATTTTGAACATTGGCTGGCTCAGTCAGAGGAGCATGTGACTCTTGATCTCGGGGTCGTGGGTTTGAGCCCTACATCAGGTGTAAAGATTACATAAATAAAACTTTAAAAAAATAAAAATAAATAATTTTGAACATGGTTCAAAATGACAGTCAAATCATTGTACAAGAAGTTGGTGGAAGATTGTAAATCAGTATGAACCTTTTTGAAGGGAAAATAGGAACATGTCACAGGATCTGTAGATGTCCCTTTTGACCCAGTAAATCTGAGGAAATGTCATATCCCAGTAACCTGTAATATTCCAAATTAGTGGAATGCTTAATAAATGATAGTGTATCTGTTAAATAGAATACTGTAGAGGCATTGAGAAGGCAGTTAGAAACCTGTTGAAATTGGGAAGCATTCAATGAAATACACGTTATTTTTAGCTTACGCACTCCTCTGGAATATCAGTGTAGCTATTTCACTTTTCATAGGTAACTTGAGAATTAAGGTCATGTAAATTTATAGAGCCCATTTTAAGAATAGTAATTGATAAGTTCATGTTAATTATTTCCAAAGGAAAAAAGTTCTCCCCTTTTTTCAGTCTTAAAGAAATGCTTTATTGCGGTCTTCAAAGAAAGCCAGGAAGCAAGCCTGTCTGCGTATACGGGCTTGTTAGTAATTCTTGTTAATGCAGTCTTTTCCAAGAGGACGTGTAAGCATCTAAAAGCAGGTTTGTTATGGATAAGTGCCTGGTCTCTGAAATGAGCTCTTGTTTTAATCTTAGTGGGCTGAGCTCCTTCTTAACACATTAGATTAAGTTTCAGGGTGAATTCAGTTCAGAATTCCTGAATATTTACCTCTTCTCTGCAGCTAACTAAGCAACACTTAGAGAACAGCCATCCAGAGAGAGGGAAGCACAGTTATCAGTGGCCTGCTGCACAGTGCCAAGAGGAATCATAATGCTTATTTGTACTTGAGCACGTTAGGACTTTTCTTCTGGCTGCCCCATCCCCCAAGCGCTCTAGTCCAAGGGTAGAAATCATGTAGTAGGCTTTAACTAAGGACATCCATGTGAAAATATTTTCCCAAACATTGAGAGTTGGTTGGTTGATTTTTTTTTTTTTTTTTTTTTTTTTTTAAAGCCCACTGACAAGGAACTGAGAGAAGCCATAGCATTGTTGACAGCTCAGCAGACTGCTCTGGAAATTATCGTCAACATGTGCTGCAGTGAAGGTTTGTCACCAGTTTACACTGAGACATTCTCCCCCTGAACTGAAAGGGCAGCTTCCATGAGGATTTTCTTAAATATTCCAATTATGTGTGGTTCGCACTCTTCCCAGATCCCTCCGACGATGAGTGGGAAGAGCTTTCTAGCAGCGATGAGAGTGATGCATTTATGGAGAATTCCTTCAGCGAGTGTGGTGGCCAGTTGCTCTCTCCCCTCTGCCTCTCCCATGAGGTTCACACTGCTTTCACCAACTACCTCATCCCAAAGAAGGTAGTCTGTTTTAAGTCTAGCCTCATTCTGGAGCATGGGGAGGGCTAGCTATTCACTGTGTATGGGAAAGAGGTTTGCTCACACTGTAGGTAACTGGCAGGAAGCAAGCTAGGACTAACGGTACCGGGAGTATGAGGAACAGTAAGTAGGTCCTCACCATGTCTGACCATTTCATGTAGAGGTAACATGTTGGGATTTGAAAAAGGGATCTTGTGTAAAATGACACTACTCTTTAACCTTTGCTTTACTGCCTTCTTTTAAATCTAGATTTTTGAGAAAACTGCCTTTCCAAACAGCATTGCAGTTGACCTATGTTCTAGAAGTCCCACTTGGAAATCTTTGGTTAGAAAGTAAGAACTTTTCTATTTTCAAAACTATTTGTTATTATGTGATTATGTGAAACGATGGGCCTTTAAATAGAAGATGCTGACTCCCCCCAGATTCAAGAGTTCTATTCTTATGTGTATTCCCTAGAAAAAGGGGTGCATGTGTGCACTAAGCCATGAGAATATACATGGCAGTGTGGTTCATAGTTGCCCCAACCTGCCAACAACCTCAGTGTCCATCAGCAGCAGAATGGATAAATAAATTTTGACATAATCATGCAGCAGAATATGTACAGCACTAAAAAAAAAAAAAAAAAAAAAAAAGCCGAACTGGAACATTGAGCAAGAAGGCAAGGCACAAAAGAATAATCACACTGTGATTCCACTTTTACAAAGTTCAAAACCTGGTAACACTTAACTGTTTTGTCTCAGGAGACATACGTAGGTGGTAAACCTATAAAGAAGAGCAAGGAAATGTTTACCATAAAAGTCTGGATAGTGGTGACCTTTAGGGGTCAGAGAGGTGGGGCATGATAGGGAAGGGGTAGATGGGCTGTGGGGGTGCTGGCGGTGTTTATTATCTGGGTGCGTAGTGTTTGCTTTATAAAATATGAATAAACTATTAAACTCTATATATGTGTTGAACACTTTACGTATGTCATATTTCACAATTAAAAATAGTTCAGATGCTGCTGTGCATAAAAATTTTTCTAAAGCAGATTCCCTGTGACTCATAAGTGAGTAATTGTGCCGCGAGCCCTGAGTGCTCAAGCAATTTGATTAGGTAGATAAACAGTTCACCTTAAGATTCTTCTGCTTGCAGATATTCCCAGCCAGAGCCTGAAGCTTAGGTGGAAAGTTAATACTGGATTCTGTTGGATAACAGACCGCATTAGGGAAACAGACCACATTTTTTTTGCTTCCTTTCCAGGATGAACACTATTCAGTGCAGAGCCCTCGTGTGTCTCCAGAGTCTCGTATCCCTCCTGGATGTGGACCATCTGGGGGGAGCCGCAGCTCTTCAGACACTTGCACAACATCTGTCACAGCTGCTTTTTTCGCAGCCAGGTAAATATTTAGGCCTCATTGCAAAAGACTGTTTGGATCAAGCAGAATTTTGAAGGGCCAGGAACTTGGACTTTGGCATTGTACTGTGTTTGTCATCCAACCTGAAGAAACCTTTCCCAAGCACTAAGAGTCATATTTATAGTTGCCAGAGGTATAGGGTCCAGCCCATATGCTGGTCTATGGGTTGTATTTGTTTTATTATTAAGATTTCTTGCATCCAGTTATGTCAGGCCAATAAGGGTGAATCACAAATATTGTAAATATTAAGCCCCATTAAGATATTCAGGTAATTCTCTAGTCTTTCTTTTTCTTTCTTTTTTTAAGCATTCTTTTTTTTTTCTTTTTTAGATTTTTTTTTTCTTTTTTTATTTTTATTTGAGAGAGAAAGAGCAAGAGGGAGAGAGGGGCAGGGAGAGAGAGAGAGAGCGAGAGTGAGTGAGAGAGAATCCCAAGTGGGTCCATATTGTCTGCACAGAGCCCGACCCAGGGCTTGATCCCACAATCCTGGGATCATGACCTGAGCCAAAATCAGGAGTTGGACGCTTAACTGACTGAGCCACCTGGCCACCCTATTTAGTCTTTATTTTTCTTCATTTTTCTTCTTAAACATAAAATCATTGATTTATATTTGATTGGGTAATCTATACATGTATCACAGAATTCACAAGTTACTACAGGACATAAAGCAGAGAGCCTCCTTTTCCTCACACCACCCAGTTCCTCTCCCAGAGTCCATCACTGTTACCAGTTTCTTGTGTTTTCTTCCAGAGAAATTCTCAATATCAAATATGTATATGATTTGAAAAAAAAGTATATACATGTGTTCTTAAGGCAAATGGTAGACTACCAGATAACAATACTGTACCCTGCTTTTTTCTAACACATTTCTATTTTCAAACACCTTTGCATGGTAAGAGGTATTACCAAGGTCTCTAATATGGATCAATTTCATTTGTACATAGAGACCTAGGGAGATGCCATATGTAGTTAACTATTTTTTCTAAGTGACCTAGCTGTATAAGGGTTAATGCATGTTCTTCTAACAGATTTTCATAGTTTGTGGTAGTAGAATCTCATTTGACTTGGTCACATGACAGTATAGCAGCTCAAGCCAAACAAACAATGAGAGACTGAGAGGGAGGGAAAAATAGTACTTTATGTAGCAAAGGAAAATTCTCCACATTGCCCTACTTAACATGTATGTCTGCAGTGAGAGTAATTTGGGAGATATGAATCTGCTGCTCTCAGATCCTCAATTTCAGAGTGTCTTTAGGGAGTTTTTGAGGGTAAACTTGAAGATATATAATATTTGCTTTCTGTACTAACCTTAGAATTTAACCACCAAATAAGACGTAACCTCGCTGTGTTACCATTGGTGTATTACTCACAAATCTCATTGTAAAGTATTTATTTGACGTATCTCTCCTCTTCTTAGACACATCATTAAGTCAAGAGCTGAAACTCTTAGGGGAACCAGGCTGGCTCAGAGGAGCATGTGTCTCTTGATTTGGGGTCATGAGTTTGAGCCCCATGTTGGGGGTAGAGATCACTTATATAAATAAGACTTCAAAAAAAAAAAGTTGAAACTCTTAAAAGATCAAAACATGGTCAATTTTGACTAAATGCAAGTGTCTGTATAAACATTCATTCGAGAGTTGCTCCCCAGTTCTTTGTTTTAAAGATTTTTAAATTATTATTTTTAAATATTTTATTTTTAAGTAATCTCTCCACCCAACATAGGGCTCAAACTCAACCCCGAGATAAGAGTCATTTGCAACTCTGATTGAGCCAGCCAGGCACCCGATTCCCAGTTCTTTTAGACATCTATTTTGCACTCCATCAAGTTAATATGAGGTACTGTGCTTTTAATAGTGCATGTTTCAGAAGTTCTACGTCATTTTTAAAAATTGAGTAAATGTTCAGAAACCCGTACATAGTTATTCTGTCTCTCCTGACCTTCCAACATTTGTTAGTCAGCAGATGTAATTTTCCAGTGATCTCAGGCTGTGCATTCTTTCACCGGTGCGATCATGTGAAAACTGTGCCCAGCCACACCTAACACACGATATGGACAGGACTGGGCAAGCTCTGGCTACAGAAGTGACTTGTCAGCGTGAGGTGGCCAGATAACTGTAGCTTTTTTTTTTTCCCCCAATGTTTGTTTATTTTTGAGAGACAGACACTGAAAATCCTGAGCAGGCTCCATACTGTCAGTGCAGAGCCTAATGTGGGGCTCGAACTCACAAGCCGTGAGAGTCATGACCTGAGCCAAAATCAGGAGTGGGAAGCTTAACCGAATGAGCCACCCAGGCGCCCCCGCTGTAGCTTTGTGTTTGTCTCCCAGTCTTATGAACCAGGCGGAGATTTGGATGGTGTTGGGGGGGGTGGTCACTGGAGAGGGGGATATTTTATCTGACTTTTGCTGACATTGTGGCTCCTGTCAGCCCAGCTGAATGTCCCATGGGAGGGAGGGGGCTACTGTTGCTCAGGCCCTCTCCCATCCACCCATTCACATGGGTGCCCTGTAGGGAGCTGGGCCAAATGGGATTGTGCACAGCCATGCTCCCAGGGGAGCATGACCTATCCAAGCCTATCACTGCTTCTAAGACCTGCCTAACCAGAGGGGATCCTGTCTGCCTCACTGGCAGAACAAACTGTCATGTCTTGCCTCTGAGCCATTTCTTCAGTGGGAGTCCAGTTAAGGTACTGGAAGCCCCATCTCCAACTAGCAGAAAGAGTGTTTCACTTGAGTAAGTGCACATATGCTGTGCCTTTGCTGTGCAGAAAACAGGTATGCTTCTCCCAGTTCAGCTGGCTATTTGTGGTCCCTGATGCTTGCACATTTATTACCTGGAAGATCACAGGAAAATGAGACTAAGTTCAGCCTTGGAAAAATAATGGAAAGTTTCTGAACTGTAGGAAACTAGAATTAAACGCTTTAAGTAAATTCCAAGTTCAGGGTATTGTTGACATAACCTTTTCTTATCAGAATGAAATTTTTGATAGAGGATAATTGCTTGTATTTAGAGATGGTATTCTAAAATTCCTTTTAAACAGAGATTTATTAAGTTACATAACCTTGTGGGTTTTAGGTGGGTGGTTTGAACTGTTATTGGAGAATTTTGTGGAGGATGGGGCTAAATGTCTCTAACTTCTTGTGTTATTATGTCTGAACATTAAATATATGAGGATCATACAACTCTGCCTAACTTAATTTTACTTTTTTAAAAATTTTAAATGTTTTTACTTATTTTTGAGAGAGAGAGAGAGTGTGCAAGCGGGGGAAGGGCAGAGAGAGAGGGAGACACAGAATCCAAAGTAGGTCTCAAGCTCTGAGCTGTCAGTACAGAGCCTGATGTGGGGCTTGAACTCATGAACCGCAAGATTGTGACCTGGGCCGAAGTCACTCACTCAACTGACTGAGTCACCCAGGTGCCCTTAACTTACTTTACTTTTAATGCTGAACTACGGTTCTGGGGGGTGCCTGGGTGGCTTAGTCAGTTAAGCGTCCAACTTCAGCTCTGGTCATGATTTCACGGTTTATGAGTTCGAGCCCCACGTGAGGCTGTGTGCTGACAGCACAGGGCCTGCTTGGGATTCTCTCTCCCTCTCTTTCTGCCCCTCCCCCACACTCTCTCAAATAAACTTTCAAGGAAGGAAGACAGGGAGGGAGGGAGAGAAGGCAATTGAAAATCAGTCTGAACAATTCGCCTAAATAAAATTTGCTGCCTAATTACTTGTGAGTTGATTATTTACCTGCATTAAGATGTGCTACAAATTCTTACATGCCGAACAAAGTTGAGGGGAAAGACATTTTAGTCACCTCTTTTGTTTAACTTCTATTGACCTTTACTTAATTTCTTCAACAATACCATATGTGTTGACCTTTTACTGGGAATTTCTCAGAAAGGCAGGGTAGTTTGAAATTCCTTTCCCAAAATGGATAAATGACCAGAAATGTGAATTAAATAAAAGTCATCCAAATAATAATCCTTAATTTAGGGAAAGTATAAATTGCACATAATGTAAAATAGTAGTGTGGTTTAGATTAGTGTTTTGAATCTAAAGTAATGGTTATTTTTCTTAGAATGGAAGAAAGAAAAAAATTGTTTCGAGTGTGTTCTAGTTTGTATTGAGTTATTTCTTCATGCTGTTGTTTAATTGTTTTATGTGCAGTTCATGAGTGTCTAGGGCTACACTTAATAGCTGTAATCAAATATAAATATAACTTACTTTTCAGAGCCAGTATGGTGACTTTTTGAATTTTATTAGTAATGACCTTACACCGATTTTTGAGTGCCTTTTAGGTGCTAGGCTGTATGAGCAAGGCCTTATTACCCCACCCTCCTGATAAGGAAGCTGAGATTTAGAGAGGTTGAGGAACTCCTTCTGGGGCATTCATTTCTTTAGCTATATTTATTGAACGCTTTATGCCATGTTCCACTCTCCAGGTCTGAGGGATCCAGGCGTGGATGAGATAAGCAAGACCACTGTGCTCACGGAACTTACAATCTCAGAGATTTAATGTAATTTTATGTAGGAAGAAAAAATGACAGCGTAATTGGTTCAGGTGCCGTATTAGATGGGTTTACGTTGAAAGGCCTCTCCGAGGAGGTAACATTTGACCAGAGGCCAACATGAGAGGTCATATAAAGTCAAAGGCAGGATTCCATCCCAGGTCTGTCTGATCCTAAAGCTTAGTGTATGTTCTGTGATTCCATCCCAGGTCTGTCTGATCCTAAAGCTTAGTGTATGTTCTGTGAAACTTACAGGAACTCCCTACTTCAGTATGTAACATATATCTGAAAAGGAAGGTCAAAAAAATAAAATACGCAGATTTGATTCAAATCTGTGCAGAAGCTGGCACGTTCTCATGCAGGCAGTCCAGAAAAGGACATTGGTTGGAACCTTTCTAGGGCCCCAGGCAGCAGGAGGCAGAAAGCCAAGGTATCTGTTACCATATAGCAAAGCACCCCAAAACTTTGTGGCTTAAAACAATACTCATGAGTTTTTCTCAGGGTTTCTATAGGTCAGAGATGGTTTGTCTCTACTCCACAATGTCTAGGCCAGGGGTTCTCAACTAGGGGCAATTTTTCCCCACAGGGAACATTTGGCAATGTCTGGAGGTATTTTTTGTTCTTATAACTTGGGGGTTGCTGCTGTTATCTAGAGGGGAGAAGCCAGGGATGCTGCTCTTATACCCTACAGTGTAGAAGGGACCCCAAAGAATTGTTTGGTCCAAAATGTCCATGGTGCTAGGGTTGAGAAACTCTAGGGTTTCTGCCAGAAAACTGGAAGGCAGAACTTCTGAAGTCTTGTTCACTCATACGTTGATAGTTGGCTCAGGGGCTGTCAGCCGGAACACCCATAGGTGACCTCTTCATATGACCTAGGCTTCCTTATAACATGGTGGCTGGGTTCCAAGGGTAAGAGTTGAAAGAGAAAAAAGAGCAAACACATGTGAGTCAGGTGCAAGCCGTGGTGCCTTTTACGACCTAGCCTGTCGTGTTCATGTTTCCTGTTGCTTATAGAAGTCACAAAGTCCCCCCCCCAGATTCAAGGGGAGGGGAAGTAGATTTTACATCTTTATGGGATGTGGCAAGGCTTGGGAAGATCATGCAGAAATGGAAGTACCATTGTTGCTATTTAATATATAATCTACCACAGCAGGGGCTCCTGGGTGGCTCAGTCGGTTGAGCATCCGACTTCAGCTCAGGTCATGATCTTGTGGTTTGTGGGTTTGAGCCCCGCGTCAGGCTCTGTGCTGACAGCTCAGAGCCTGGAGCCTGCTTCAGATTCTGTGTCTCCTCTCTCTGTCCCTCCCCCATTTGTGCTCTGTCTCTCAAAAATAAATAAATGTAAAAAAAAAAAAAATGTATAATCTACCACAGCAAATTCATCACTTTCCCTTCCCACCTAAGACATTAGAGAGCTAGCCTGCCTGGGTGACCCACACCCTTCTGTATAACTGTAAACATAATTGTTTGTTGCTGCTGTTCCATTTGTCCTGTGTCGGAAGAAGGGACAGTGAGAAAAGAGTAAAAGTGAGCAGGAATGGGAAGGGGAAGTTGGGTCAGTCAAAACCATAGAAACCATTGAAGCCATGGAGGTGTAGTGGCCTAGCCCTGTGCAAACAACAGTTGTTGACTACGTAGTGGACTTAGGTCGGTGAGGAAGTACTCTGATTTGGGAGACATCTCCATGCTAGTTCTGCCTAGCACTGTGATGGCAACCTGTGCAAGGCTGAATTCCATCTATGAAAGCTAGCTCAGGCTTAGCACGTGCTAAAGAAGGAAATCAAATGAAAATCCAGTGTCTGGAAGGCAAGGACTATCTGCAGAATGCTCCCTTGTTATGATTATTTCAATTGTGGACGTCTTTTCAAACTCAAGTATGTAGCTCACAAGGAACTGTGGAAATTCGGGCTCAATATCAAAAGTGTTAATTATAATAGCATATATTAAGATTTAACATGCGGTGTTTTGATTGTTTCTTTTCCTACAAAGTAACTTGTCTTAGAGAAAGACAAATGTGTATTTCACTTTTGTGTTTTAGATTTTGCTAAGCATGTTGACTTTCTAGAAGCCATAAGTAGTGCCTTGAGGGCCCTTTTGCAAACAATGGCCTCCAAGAACATTTCTCAGGTAAGATTCTTAAAAATTTTTATATGAAACCAGCAAAGATTCTGCATTATGGAGGCAAAGCTAATAACTTTTTTTTTTTAAGTATTTATTTTGGGGGGACGCCTAGGTGGCTCAGTTGGTTAAGCGTCTGACTTCGGCTCGGCTCATGATCTCATGGTTCATGAGTTCGAGCTCCACGTCGGGTATTCTGCTGTCAGCGCAGAGCCCACTTTGGATCCTCTATCCCTCTCTCTCTGCCCCTTCCCCACTTGCACCCACTCTTTCTCTCAAAAATAAAAATAAACATTAAAAAAACATATTAAAACTATTTGTTTGAAGAGTAACGTATGATCCTTGTAAAGAGAAATCATATGTGCTTAAAATAAAAAGTAAAATATTTTCCTTCTTCCCGCCAGTGCCACCAACACACACAATCTTTTTTATCGATGTAACTTGGTTGACGTACAGGTCACAAATATGTTCTCTGAAAGCCATCGGTCTTCTGTAACAGTTTACAGAAATTTTCAAGCATGCCTCCTGACCCTCCACAGTGATCCACAGGCATCTCTGTGATAGGTGCTTTCTCACTTTTATTTTTTGCTTTTTATTAAGGAAATTTTCAAACATCTCTAAAAGCAAAGATAATAGTATCACCAACCACAGGTGTCACTGAGTTGGCAACATCCTGGCCTTCTTGTTCTCTTTATCTCCCTTACGCTTTGTTTTTGTTACCTGGACTGCTTTAAAGCAAATTGTGTTTATTTCACCCATAAGTATTTTATTATGTGCTTCATTACGTGTCTGTGACAGAAAATGGACTTTTAAAAAACATGACCACAGTACCATTACCCCCAAATTAACAGACATTGCTTTATCATCATTTGATATATGCAGTCTGAGTTCAGTGTTTTCTGACTGAACTGAAAATGTCTTTTTCAGTTGCTTTTGTTTAGATCAGAACCCAAACAAGATCTACACATTGCTTTTGGTTGATACTTCTGTTTCAATTTTTTTTTTTAACGGCTTTAGTGAGATTTAATTCACATACCATACGATTCATCCATTTGAAGTGTGCCATTCAGTGGTTTTTAGTATATTCACAGGTTCTTAAATCTCTTAATTTAAAACATTTCCCCTACCAACCCCCCTCTCCCTTTTCTATTTATTTACTGAAGAACCTGTTATTTGTCTTGAAGAATTTTTCTCATTCTGAGATTTGGCTGGTTGCTAACAATGGTAATGTTAATGTGTCCCTCTGTGGTCCGTATATCCTAGGAAGCTAGGTCTAGAGCCTTAATTAGATTTGGGATCAAATTTTTTGGCAAGAATAATTCATAGTGTTGTCTGTATTTTCTACTTTCCTATCACAAATTATGTATTTTCATAAATAGTGATGTTAAGATTAATCAGTGGATTCCTTAGTGGTTGTAGCCAGCAGGGATTACTGTTGTCTAGATCCGTTATTTTATCAGTGGTTGCAAAACGGACACATTCTAATCTTGTCATTTTTTTTACATTTATTAGCTGTGATTCTACTATAGAGAAAAACTTTCTGTCTCTTGAGTGGCTTAGTCGATTAAGTGTCTGATTATTGATTTCGAGTCAGGTCATGATCCCAGGGTCATGGGATTAAGCCCATGTGCTGAGTGTGAAGCCTGCTTAGGATTCTGTCTCCTTCTGTCCCTCTTGCTTGCCCTCTCTCTCTCTCTCTCTCTCCCTCTAAAAAAAAAAAAAGAAAGAAAAGAAAAGAAATGATCCCATCTGTTGGTAGTAGAAGTCTCTTCTCTGTGGCTCCTGAGCCCACTAGATTTGAGAGCTTCTTGGGTACAAGCAGCTGTCCCAGACTCATCTTGTACTTTTCCTGCTTGAAACCTGGAGTCATTTTCCCCAGCAGCCCTAATATCTTTAGTGGGAAACTAAGTTTTGGAATACTTTTGCTATGTTGTCTTTGCTTCTGGACTTTTTTAGCGGAAATAGCTAGGAAATAAGAATTTCATGCGAAGAGAAAAAATAAATCGCAATGTCATACTGACATTTCCAGTTTAAGTAAAAAGGCTAAAGTATTTTTACTTAACTTTTGATAGATAATTGTATCTTTTTTGTACTGCAAATCTTGCTTCTTAGTGATGTTGAAATTATTTGCTTTATCCTACAGAATGTATTTAATAGTTTCAAGAAAACAATGCTGTTATTGCTAACAGTAACACAACTGAATGTAGTTTAAGATTTCTTTGTGATTCTTCTTGTCCTTAGGAAAAATTCCTCCAAGACTGTACAAATTGCTGTGTTTTAAAGTTGCTTGAAAAAATTCTCTTTGTGGCTTGTTATAAAGTTAGTTTCAATTGTTTTAGCTTTCCTTTTTTTAAGAGTCCTTTTCTCATTTTGCTCTAATTTTTATTTTACACAGTTTCAGTAACAAAACTGAAACAGGTTGGAGCGGCTGGCTCAGTCGGTAGAGCATGAGACTCTTAATCTCAGGGTTGTGAGTTTGAGGCCCATGTTGGGCATGGAGCCTAGTTCAAAAAAAAAACACACACACACACACACACACAGAAAAACTGAAACAAGATATATTCAGAGGAAAATATAATATATACATACGATGGGATATTTTTCAGCTTTAAAAAGGAACGCAATTGTAATACTATCACCTAGGTGAACCTTGAAGACATTACATTAAGTGAAATAAACCAAACACAAAGGACAAATATTGTATGATTCCATTTATGAGGTACCTAGGACGGTTAAATTCATAAGGACAGAATGTAGAACAATGGCTGTCAGGGGTTAGGGGAAGGAGAGAGTAGGGGCGTCCTGTTTAAGGGGATGGAGTTCTGGGGGTGGATGGGTGATGGCTGGTTGCACAACAGTGTGAAAGTACTTCCTGCCACTGAGCTGTACACTTCAAAATGTATCCCTTTGGCCCTGTTCTTCCCTTTCTGGTAACCATCCATTTTGGTTTTTGATTTATCATTCTATCGTTCTTTTTTATTTTATTTATTTAAAAAAAAATTTTTTTTTCAACATTTATTTATTTTTGGGACAGAGAGAGACAGAGCATGAACGGGGGAGGGGCAGAGAGAGAGGGAGACACAGAATCGGAAACAGGCTCCAGGCTCCAAGCCATCAGCCCAGAGCCCGACGCGGGGCTCGAACTCACGGACCGCGAGATCGTGACCTGGCTGAAGTCGGACGCTTAACCGACTGCGCCACCCAGGCGCCCCTCATTCTATTGTTCTTATTTTAAAAACATAAGCAAATATGTAGGCCTTTGTATTTCAGCCCTTTCTTCAAAGTAGTGCTTCTGCCCCTTGCTGTTTTTCCCTCCTTTATTAATCATCATAGTACATAGGTATCTTTCTCATTTCTTTCTTTCTTTTTTTTTTTAAATTTATTTCTTTTGAGAGAGAGATTGTGTGCAAGAGAGACCATGTGCACAAGTTGGGGAGGATTGGAGGGAGAGGGGGAGAGAGAATCCCAAGCAGGCTCTAGGCTGTCAGCACAGAGCTTGACACAGGGCTCGATCCCACAAACCATGAGACCATGACCTGAGCTGAAATCAAGAGTCAGATGCTTAACAAACTGAGCCACCCAGGCTCCCCTCTTACATCTTGTTTTACAGCTTCATATTATTTACTCCGTCGTGTAGGTGTTCCTTATTCATTCAACCTGTCTGCTATTGGTGGGTATTTTACTTTCCAGTCAGTCTTTGCTATTATAAATAGAACCGCAGCAAATAACTTTTTTACAGATGTTATTTTGTGGTTTTGCCATTGAGTCTTGGGGATAGATGCCTAGAAGTGGGCTTGCTGGGTCAGAGAAGAGATGGAGTTCTAATTTTGCTAATTACTGCTGTAGTCCCCTCCTTAGACTTTGAGCCTTCTTGAATCTCCACCAGCAGTGAGAGTGCCTATTTTGCTGGAGCCACACCAGCAGAGTACATTGTCAGAATGTTGGATTTTAACCAGTTTGATAGCTGAGAAGTTATATCTCATTCTAATTTGCATTTCTCTTCTTCTGGGAAGATTGGATGTCTCTTTATGTATTTTAAGGGCCTTTTGTTTTGTTTTGTTTTGTTTTTTTCTGTAACTGTTCCTGTGTTTTCTCAGTTTTGCTATTTTGGTGGTGGTCTTTTTCTTCTTCATATATAAGGCCAAATCTTAGGGCCTCGCCCCCAGTCGACTTAAGCAGAAACTTTGGGGAGGGGCCCAGTGGTCTATATTTGAAGAAATTCTCCAGGGATTGGCATGCACACTAAGTTTGGGTGTGCTATAGTAAGTGTGCTATACCATCCTTGCTCCTTCCTTTCTAAAATCTTCCAGTGTTGATTAATAGGTCATTAGACCATACCACCCACTTCTCTTGGTTATAGCCATCCGTAGGGTGCCCAAGGCACCCTTTGTTCCTTAAAGATTCCTGCTGTTGGGCTTTATTACTCTTCAATAGTCCTGTCATGATTCTAGGTGACTTCAGGATCCACATAGATGCTCCCCCAAGTGACCTGGCTTTGAAGTTCCTGGACCTCCCTTTCTCTGGCCATCTTGTCTTCCTTCCTACTTCTACTCCATGGCCACACCCTAGAGCAGTGCTTCCCACACTTTATCTTGGTCCACAGCATAGTGAGAATGTCTCTGGTGCTTTTCTGTCAAATACAGTATGCGCTGTTGGTCTTTAATATATAAACCTTAAATTTTTTTTCTTTGTATATTTGAGAATTTTCTTTTAAGAACATAACTTTTGACCCTTAGTTTCTTTGAAATGGGAATGGTAATAATGGAGAGAGGATTAGAAGACCCTATACTGTAGGGCCTATAGAAATATAAAGTATTTTTATTGATTTTGCATGATCCTCAGCAGTAGCTTACTGGGTCAGTCTGATGTTTAAAGAGAATTACTCCCTGCTCATGCCCAGTTAATGTCTAGGCATTCATATATATTCAGGCCATAGATTTTCAGATTGGCTATGTATTGGACATGAGCATGGAATTTGAGAACTAGAAGGACCCTGGCTCTCTAATGCTTTACAAAAAAAGGAAACCAGGGACTAGAGGTGCTGAATGACGGCACTAAGAGTGGAGTGCGACTGTCCTGCTCCCCTGTCTAGTTCTCTACCTTGTAGGTTTGTGCACACTGGGCAACTTAATGTTTGTGAGTCATGCTGGTAGTAAAGCAGCCTGCCTTCATCATTCATAGCAGCCTTGTTCTGGCTGTGAACAATCCTGTGGTTGGTGGGATTTGTTTTCTAAGAAACCTGAGCCTATTAGCTATTTCCTTTAGATTTGGCAGAAGCAGTGCAGATGATTCAGAAAGGAGCTTGTTTAGAATTGTTGAGTATCTTGGGGCACTTGGGTCAGTCAGTTGGGCATTTTACTCTTCATTTCAGCTCAAGTCATGATGTCACAGTTTGTGAGGTCAGGACCCATGTCAGGCTCTGCACTGACACGGCAGAGCCTGGTTGGGATTCTCTCTGGATTCTCTCTCTTCCCCTCCAACTCTCAAAATAAATAAATAAACATTAAAAAACCTGTTCAGTATTTTATATGTGTGTGTGTATATACATATGTGCATTTTTGTGTGCATTACTTAATCCTCTTAGCCCCTCTGCATGGTGATCACTGTCCCTGCATTACTCATGGAGAAATGGAGAACTTAGTGGGGTCAAGTATTTTGCACAGGATTGCTAAGTGGTAAGGAGTAGAGCCAGGTTGTGAATTCAGGATGTCAGATTCCAAATCCAAAGCCCTTAGTTACGATGCTGGGCTGCTCCTCACAAGTGATAGCCTGGCAACATGATATTCGAATTCTCTTGTGATACCTGCGTCCACATATGTGTTCAGATTATCTTAAAATGAAAATTATCACTACACGGCAGAAGCACTATATAATTTCATGGTTTTTACAATCTCTAATAATTTACCATACCACACACATCTCAGGGTGAGTTCTTGCATAGATTCAGCCAATTTTTATTAAAGCTACAGGATTTTATTTACATTTTCAAAACGTTCTTATGATTAACGTTAAAAAGAAATTTGAATCTCTTTAGTCTGCGTACATCTGACCAAAAGTCTTCTTCAAATGAAACTAATAGGAAATGAAGCCCCTCTTACAGGCCTACAACTATGGTAAATTGAGTAATAACAGTGACATGAACAGGCCTCATCTTAGTTCAAGAATACCAGCTGTATTTAGGAGCGATTAGAGTAAGTAATAACTTTTCTTAGTGACATTCCTGTCAGTCCTGTTGTGCGTACTATTGGAACTGGTCGAGTTTAACACCATAAATACTCTCTTCTTCCTTTTCAACAGTGCATGACTCCCGATCAGCTGATGACATTGTGCACAGCCGGCATTCATAGTAGTAATACAGGGGTGAGAGTAAACGTTGTTAGTATTTTAGGAATCACTGGCAGCGTCCTTGCCAAAGAAGATGGAACACTGGAAACTCTTAAGGTAAAACAACATGCTTCTAATGTAAAATGTTAAATCATTAGAAACAGGGTAATTGTTGGTGTGGGATTTTTTTTTTTTTATTTTTCTGAGAGAGGGGGAGGGAGGGAAGGAGGGAACATGAGTGAGCGAGGGATAGGCAAAGGGAGAGGGAGAGAGAATCCCAAGCAGGCTTCATGCCCAGTGCAGAGCCTGACTAGTGGCTCAATCTCATGAGGGTAAGATCATGACCTGAGCCAAAGTCAAGAGTCGGACACTCAACCAGCTAAGCCACTCAAGCACCCCAGTGTGGGATTTTTAAAAACTTCTGTGGACATCATGAGAAGAAATCCTATCAAGAATTTGCTTACTGGGGCGCCTGGGTGGCTCAGTCGGTTAAGCGGCCGACTTCGGCTCAGGTCATGATCTCGCGGTCCGTGAGTTCGAGCCCCGTGTCGGGCTCTGTGCTGACAGCTCAGAGCCCGGAGCCTGTTTCGGATTCTGTGTCTCCCTCTCTCTGACCCTCCCCCATTCGTGCTCTGTCTCTCTCTGTCTCAAAAATAAATAAACGTTAAAAAAAAAAAAGAAAAAAAAAAAAGAATTTGCTTACTAAAGTACATTATTAAAATATGCCCTTTGAATTTGGCTTGATCTGCCTACATGAATTAGATAGGTACTTGAAAAGTTGAGTTGCATTTTGCTGTTTAACTTTATTCCAGAGATACTTTTTCAAAAATGAACTTGTCTGCAGTGAAAGACGAGTTCAGCATTGCCTCAGGTACCTCTGCTTTTGCAGTTACATAAAATATGAGCATGTTCCATTCTCCTAGTGATGAAGGGACCGTTCGCCAGTTCTCTTAGCACGCCCGGCCAATGTGCATTCCGAACAGTACCACACAGTCCCCTCTGATGCCACTTCGTAAATTTGAAGCCGCAAGCTTCAACATACTTGCTTCCAGCACTTCATTGAGGCACAGTCGCTCAGGAACTAATATGCTCGAGACCCAGCATCACTAGTAACTAAAAGGACAGTGATAGTAAAGTTACCCTTCATTGTGGTAATAATTGCTGAAGTATTAATTACTAATTCATGTGTAGTAAACCATTTGTTAGGAAGTACTTAAGTTGCTTACAACTTTACAACGACTCATTTTTTTTTAATGTTTATTTATTTTGAGAGAGAGAGACAAAGCATGAATGGGTGAGGAGCAGAGAGAAAGGGAGACACAGAATCCGAAGCAGTCTCCAGGTTCTGAGCTGTCAGCACAGAGCACATGTCAGCACATGTCACAGAGCCTGACATGGGGCTTGGACTCACCAACCATGAGGTCATGACCTGAGCCGAAGTTGGACGTTCAACCAACTGAGCCACCCAGGCACCCCAACCATGACTCATTTTTAAGAACCTTATTTTGAAAAGATACATGCACATAATGAAACAGACAAGTAAAAAGAATATTAATGAAAAAACTCTCCCTTTATAACTTTCCAAGCCCCCCCAGTTTAACTGTAGAGAGGCAGCCACTGTTACCCCTTTCTTCTGTGTTATTCTAGATATATAGACACATAAACGAGAGAGAATGTAGCTGTGTGGTTGTGTGTGCGTACGACCATGTGCATGTTTAATCACTTCCCGCCCCTTAACACTGTAATTCCCAAGGTCCACTTGAGCGGAGCAACAAGTTTTTCTCAGGCATAACAGATTTTTTTGAATGTTTGTATTTAGTCACATTTCCAAACATGAAGAAAAGCAGAGGGGCACCTGAGTGGCTCAATCGGTTAAGCGTCCGACTTCAGCTCAGGTCATGATCTCATGGTTCGTGGGTTCAAGCCCTACATCGGGCTCTGTGCTGACAGCTCGGAGCCTGGAGCCTGCTTCAGATTCTGTGTCTCCCTCTCTCTCTCCCCCTCCCCCACTCACACTCTGTCTCTCTCTCAAAAATAAATAAACATTTTTTAAAAAATGTTTTAAAGCTCGGTATTAAAGGCATCATGGTATTTTGCCCCTGTTGGTTCAGTATGCATGTCTTAAAAACAGGGACAGTTTGTGACATAACCACCATTATCACACCTTACACAGTCAGCAATCATTGTTTAATACATCTCATACATGGTCCATATTCAGATTTTTTTCCAGTTTCAAAAACATTTATTTATGGATAGTTCATTTAAAGCAGGATTTAAGTCAAGTCTATGTGTTATGTTTGGTTGTGGATCTTCTAAGCCTCTCTCAATCTGGAAACTTCTCCCTGGCAGTGCCTACCACTACCTGTTTGTTTGTTTCTTTCTTTCTTTAATTTTTTTTTTAACGTTTATTTATTTTTGAGACAGAGAGAGACAGAGCATGTACGGGGGAGGGTCAGAGAGAGGGAGACACAGAATCTGAAACAGGCTCCAGGCTCTGAGCTGTCAGCACAGAGCCCGACGTGGGGCTCGAACTCACGGACCGCGAGATCATGACCTGAGCCGAAGTCGGCCGCTCAACCGACTGAGCCACCCAGGTGCCCCTCTTTCTTTCTTTTTGAGTAAGCTCTATGCCCGTCGTGGGGCTTGAACTCAAAACCCTGAGATCACGAGTCACACACTGTACCAGCTGAGTCAGCCAGGCACCCCTACCACCACCTGTTTTTTTCCTCAATTCCTAGGGTTGTCTCATAGTGTCCAACCTTCTGTATTTGTCTGATTGCTTCCTTGTGTTGTTAAGCTTGTTCTTTTATTGTCTCTATTTTCTGCAAACTGGAGGTTAGATCTAAAGGCTAGATTAGATTCAGATTCAGGCTAATCTTTTTAATAAGACTACTTCCTACGTGATACTGTGTGTTTCATATTTTATTATAGAATATTGAATCTAAACACTATCCTAGAGGTTGTCTGTATAACTTAAATTTAGATAAGGAAATTGGGGCCCAGAGTGGGTAATGAACTGTCCCAAGAGTCAGGCTGTTATTTACGTCACAGCTGGAGCTTGGACTCGCTATTCTTAGCCTTTCCACTCTCCCACTGATAGTACCAGATGTGCACATCACCCTTAAGACATAAAGGATGAAGGAGAACAGCCAAAACAAAGTAAGTTTACTTTTGAACAATTCTTTGCAGATTGGGAATGGCCTGTTCATTAGCCAGCTAATTGTCAAAGTATGGATGGGTGTTAAAGATCATTACAGGGAAGTACTTCTTTTTTTTTTTTTTAACATATATTTATTTGCATCTTGACAGGGAAAGGCTTTTTGAGGGAGATGGGAAAAATTTAATTTCCAAAGTCAATCTCTCATAGATCATTTATGGATTTTAACTTATTTTATTTAGGAATGTAAACTTAATTTATCTAGTTTATATTATACATGGTGTATTTATAAATACATGTGAAGTCTTTAATTTTTAGTTTTTCAAAGATTAAAAAAAATTTTTTTTAAGTGTATTTATTTTGAGAGAGACAGAGCATGAGCAGGGGAGGGGCAGAGAGAGAGAGAAAGAGAGAGAGAATCCCAAGCAGGCTCTGCACTGTCAGCACAGAGCCCAACACGGGGCTCAAACTCACAAAACCATTAGATCATGATTAGAGCTGAAATCAAGAGTTGGACACTCAACTGACTGAGCCACCCAGGTGCCTCCGTTCTTTCAAAAAAATTTGTCTCTGGCATTTCTAAGTTTTAAAAGACCATGTGTGAATTGTTGCCACGTTCAAAGTTAGTATGGATTTTGGAAACTGAGGTTAGAATATTGGACAATAACTGTGTTTTGTTGTCTCCAGACCATCGGGTGCTTTCTGCTTGAGGTTGCCACTAAAGATCCCTCCCTCGTGGTGGCAGGGGAAGCCTTGGATGCCCTCTTCGATGTTTTTGCAGATGGGAAAGAAGCTGAAAGGGCCTCAATTCAAATTAAACTGTTGTCTGCTCTGAAAGAATTCCAGCCAGTCTTCAAAACGAAGGTATGTAGCTGTTAGGTCTCAGGGAGCCTGGGTGGCTCAGTCGGTTGGGCGTCTGACTTCACCTCAGGTCATGATCTCACACTAAGTGAGTTCGAGCCCCACATTGGGTTCTGTGCTGACAGCTCGGAGCCTGGAGCCTGCTTCGGATTCTGTGTCTCCCTCTGTCTCTGCCCCTCCCCTGCTCACGCTCTGTCTGTCTCTCTCTCTCTCTCTCTCTCTCTCTCTCTCAAAAATAAATAAACATTAAAAAAATATTTAAAAAAAAAAGAAATGCTTAGGTCTCAACGTCCTACGAGAAGGGGGTGTGTGTAGTTCCCTTCATGCAATTGCAGTGATTCACAGAGCACTTCATCCCCAGAACTGAAGAATGCTTGTTGGCTGAGTCAGAGCTCCGTCCTTTCTGTTGAATCACTGTGATGTGGGCCAAAAAGGGGTAGACGAGGTCCCCCCCTTGCCACAACAGTTCAGTCGCACTAACAGTGCTCCTGTAGAAGCACTGAAGTCTGTCGCCTACAAAGCACTTTCGTATACGTTGTAAACTTATTTTATATCATTAGAGGTAATTCATTACAGCTGGATTTCCACATTATGAGTATTTCCCTTTGATGCTCTGAAAAAAGGGCAAAGTCCAGGCTGATCTCTGTTGGAGAATGTAGCTACCTTCATTGACCCATTTATTTACTTATTAGTTTGTTTGTGTTTATTTATTTATTTTGAGATAAAGACAGAGCACATGAGCAGGGGAGGGGCAGAGAGAGAGGGAGAGAGAGAATCCCAAGCAGGCTCTGCACTGTGAGCACAGAGCCCGACGCAGAGCTCGAACCCACAAACTGTGAGATCATGACTTGAGCCGGATGCTTAACTGACTGAGCCACCCAGGCTTCCCCTTTTTATTTATTTTTTTGTTTCAATAGAAACATCAAAACTAACTTTCGGTTAAAAAGTAATTTTCAAATACTTGGTGGCTGGGGGAAAGCAACCAGTAATTGAAAAAAGATTTTTTTTTAAGTTTTATTTGTGTGAGAGAGGGCAGGAAAGGGGCAGAGAGAGAGAATCCCAAGCATGCTCTGCGCTTACAACGAACTGTGAGATCATGACCTGAGCTGAAATGAAGAACTGGATGCTCAACCTACTGAGCCACCCAGGCACCCTGCAACTAGGAATTTTATTTTATTTTATTTTATTTTATTTTATTTTATTTTATTTTATTTTATTTTATTTT